ACAGCTGCGTGGGAAGGATATTTTCGCAGTTAAGAGCCTTGCGAACAAAAAACACGTGACGACAGGGTAGCAACCGCGAAGTCATGAACAGGCATGAACATGACCAATTTCGCTTCGTGACAGAATACTCCGATCTGGGCTCGTCGAGAGCTTCTTCCTCTTCTGAGAGGTTCTGGATCATAATAACATCAGGTACCGGCTCATAGAAACTGTAGTTGGCACGCGTAATGGCGTACACGTACTGGTCGTAAACGAGTTCACACGCGTGCTCGCTCACCAAGTTGGATAGAAATTGCATCTCTCTATCGTACTTCGGATTATGCACCAGCTTCAGATTGTACAATGCGTCCATAAATTCCCTCTGTGATTGCGCTTGGTAACACATTATGGCCGCTATGCACTTGTCAACCCCCATGTATCCATTCACGAGCTCTTTCACCTGCTTCCATGAGGCTTCAATACGGTTATTTTTGTAATTACCCATCGTCACGGCATTTTGACGTTCAAATGAGCACCACATATAACGACAGGAGTCCCAATTCTTTGAGAAATAGGCCTCGAAAGGGTGTACAACATCCTGGGCATCTTCTGCCGTACCGGTGCCTCGATCACCCAACTCAGTTGATCCAGCACCCAACTCAGTAGATCCAGCACCCAACTCAGTAGATCCAGCACTCAACTCAGTACGAGTTACACTTCCACGTCCAATTGTCATTATATGGCGCAAGTACTTTCGAAACCGTTCATATTCGCGCTCCGTCTTTGCGTAAACCAACAGATTCACGAGCCCTTGCAGCTGCTGCTTCTGCCAAGAAGTAAACCTGTATTCTGCTGAGGCAATTTCCTCGCGCAGATACTTCAAAACGTGAAACTGACACAGCAACACAATCGCTTCCGGGAAGACCACTTTGAGCACAGACATCTCCGTGAAATCTTTATCGATCAGTATGCATTTGATACGATCCCACACCGGATTGTTGCGCTTGAACTCCTCCAGGGCCGTCAATAAAGTATTACGGCGTTCATTTTGAACCACAGCATGCTGTACAAATTGACCCTTGCCAAAAGCATCGTGGGCCATGATCGAAAAAACTTTATACTTGGATGCATTCGTGCCGTGAGTGGCATCAATCATCAGGACCTCCGGAAACTTGTCGAAAAGAGCACGCATATGCTTGGTTTGCAGTGTAATGCATGTGGCGATTCTCTAAATGTGGATAAAAGTCAGTACCGTCCCCAAATATCATGACAAAAATGCGGCAATATCATACCTTGTCTTGCACTTTATCAACAAAGATACGACCAACGTTTCCAGGCTCCTCGGTAAACTCGATCATCCATCGCTTCAGCCGCTTCGCGCTTGTGGGAGCGGTGTGCGCTTCTTTCTTAAGTTTGGCAACGAGATTATGTACATCTTTTTTGGTCGGCTCGCACGCGGAGTGGTTGTGGATGTAGGCCAATATGCTCTTCTTTTTGGCCCCCGCCTTTCGGAGCTCGTCCACCGTAGAAAGCACCTCAGGTTCGTACGCAGTTCTAGTTTGTGGCTACTGGCTGTGAGTGTGCTTCGTTAACGGGTGGCTGTGCTCTAGCCGCACAGACGTTAGTTTCAAAGAAAATTTCTGCCCAGAAGGATCAACCATTTGCACACAGGCATTGATCTGCAACCACAGGAAACTCTGTTAGCCCAACTCAACCCAACCAACCCAAATCGTACCCAACTGTGACCAACTACACCAACTCGAACCCACCTGTGCGCCACACTGCATAGCTCTCGAATGCTGCGCTTCCTCTTGCCTTTGCCTTTTGGTTTGTATTTCCCCCCGTGCGTACAAATGTACATCCTTGCGTAGTAAATCCATTCGTCGGGAACCAGTGGTGCTTTGGAGCCAGACTCCTGAATTTTTTTGTTCCTCTCAGTAACCTTGTTATTTGCCCGGACGCGAAAGCTCTACATATGACCAACATCAATGCATATATCCAAGTTGGTAACCACGCCGTCTCCACAGCTATTTATAACAAGTAATAGCATCTTACCTGGTATGTTTTGGCCCCGTATGATTTAAGAAACTCCTCCAAGTCGCCCCATGACTCAAACGCATATCTGCGCGGAGGGGCCGCTTGAATCCCATCCGATTCCTCACTTGAGTCAATTGCTGCGGTCTGAGGTGACGCCGACGTTCCATTACGAACTTGTTTCGACCGGCTCCCGCAGCTTACAGCACTGGAGGCATCTGATGATGTTCCCACCCATTCCTCGTCGCTGTTGTTAAGTGAACACTCATCCAAATTCTCGCTGACTTCGTCGCTGGATGACACGGGGGGTCGCAAGACCTCCTTGACGCGCAAGTTCTTGGCAGGCTGCTTTGGCGTTCCCGACTGCTTTGGCCCGTAAGTCGCGCGATACAGGGCGTGCTAACGTCGTGACGCGTTGATCGCATGCTGCCGCTACGCCGCAGTCGCGGTCGCTCTCCATGGCTCGTATTCCTGCTCGACCCCCACCGATGAATTAATGGTGAGGAGGGGGGAATCGTAATATACACTATACGCCGGACGGATGAACTAGTGGGGTAGGGTAATGATCTGATCGACGATTTGACGACCTCAGTTGGGCTCTCCAGCCACTCTCTTTAGTAAAAGACAAGAAAGTCAAACAATGTGTGTTTGTCTGTGATCTCTGTGCTCCATTGCGGGTCTGCCGGCATTAATCCGATAATTACTTTTGTATTTATGGGCAAAACAAAAAAATGGTGTTGGGTTTCATCTTGCCAGTATAATAGAAGTTTCGAGATGACAACTGCAACGGCTTCGATGCGTCGGGGTGAGACGTCTCTTTCATTTAGCATCCACCAAAACAGTCACAGCAAACATGAAACTGTGGCGAGTCCCGAGACTTCCGTATCCTTATTGCGCACGCTGGTTAGTTTGACCGCGTACCTGACACTGCTATGCTAACAGCATTTAGCCGCTGTAACGGTCCACAAGATGAGGAGGAGGACGCTCGAGCATGATGGAAGGTTTGGCCTCGACGTACTCCTTGATGGTGGTGCTACGATCACCAAGGTATGTTGTGGTGAAAAAGTCATCATACACGTCCTACATGCCACAGAGTCAGTACTATAGAGGTCCATGCGATGGGATCGGCTTTGCACCTGTCCAAGCTTCTTGACTGCTAGCAGACAGTGACGAAGGTACACCTGAGGTTAATGTCACACGTTTAGCATTTAGTTTTCTACCTTTAGCTCGATCTACAGACGTTTCCTCGTACCCGACACGGAAGGATGCCGCTGTCTGCGTTCCACCCCCCAGATTGTGTTCAGTCCGTACGCTTTGTACTTGGTATCGAAAGTACCCTGTCCGCTGCAAAGTTGCAATATCAACACCCACCGTATCAGGACCAGCTAGTGACAATGCACCTTTAGTTCCCTACCGTTTGGCAATGTATTCATCATCACTCCACCTTGTGCACATTAACGCCTGTGCAGTACAAACACCACACCATTACTTTTTGTCTGTTTCCCACCAGCACTTTGAACAACAGTATCAACCTCGCCTCGAGCGCTTCCGTCCAGCTCTTGGAACGTAGCACTAATAATCTTAAACTCTTCTTCACGCTCGTAAAAATCCGGCAGCAACTCCTCGGGAATATCAAACACGCTAACTAGGAATTTGCATCCCGGCGCCGGCTCCGTCGACAAACTCGCTATTTCCTGCCCCACTCAATCAAAAATTAACACCAACACCCCTCTACTTATCAATTGCGTAAGTATTGCTTATTTCCAGTTGTACCTTCGTCTCAAGGTCGGCGATGCCTCGCTGGAAAAAAATGGAAGCTGGGTGAGCGAACACTCGCCGGTAATCGAGCACCGTCGCCAGGCGGAAGTTGCGGACGCCGTCGCCGAACGTGGAGCGCGCCCATGCCTCTACGGTAGCGTCAAATAGCCATTAGACGCCGTTATTTACACGTGAAATGCTCGTTATTTACCGGACAGGAGCGAGCCGAACCCGACGATCGCCACCATGTTGTTGCGTCACGTGGCTTCAAAATGAAGCGGGATCAGATCAATGAAGAGTCTGATTCTACAATATTAATCTTGGTTTCAGTAAGCGACCATCATTCTTGCTTCACCTCAGCACGGTTGATGATTGGAGCGTCATGGATAGCAAGACGCTCATGTTCGGGGCCTTTTCGAGGCTCACAGGCACAACACGGAGGCGTGCGATACGTCGGGTGATAGTATGGATCGTTGCAGTCCTAGTGGTATGTATACTGTCACACTTACCCGTTGCTGGAGCCACACAGCCGCAATCAAAGCCTTGCCAATTTTACGAGAAATCGTTGACGAAGGAATATATCGCGCAATTACACGATTACGACGCACTGGAGACCCAGGAGCAGCTTGTTAGTAGCTGTATCAGCTCCACCGCGTTCAATGTTGCTCTGGAGATCGCTGAAAGATCCGAATTCGCGCGACACGCGCCCACAGACTTTGTCCTGTTGCGCATATTTTCCTGTGGGTTGGAGACGTCTCCATCTTACGCAACTGCAGCAAACAATAGTGTTTGTCATGCCTATGAATGGTCAATGCAAAATTACACCGCTACAGATCAGATAAAAGCTATCCGAACGAACAAAGAGTACAGGAATGTAGGTCTACTGGGGCTGGACAAGCAGCGGGCAAGCAAACGAACGTTGAATGAGCCTACGAGAAAATTGTCCGGATTGAGGAAAGAATCAACGCTTCTGGTGGACGATTTAGGGGTGAGAGAGCTATGGGAACGAGGATTTAAAGGACAAGGAGTGAAAGTGGGGGTGTTCGATACGGGATTGTCGTCGAAGTTGACGAATGTGAAGGAGAAAATTAATTGGACACATGAGCCAAAGAACACCGACACGGTGGGCCATGGCACATTCGTTGCCAGCGTGATTAGCGGGACGGATGCGAGATGTCCGGGCATTGCACCCGAAGCAGAGTTATTCGTATTTCGAATGTTTACCGGGGAGCAGCTTTCGTTCACGTCGTGGTATCTTGATGCGTTTAATTATGCGTTATTCAAGGGGATTCATGTTCTGAATTTGAGCACAGGAGGACCTGACTTCCAAGATCTGCCGTTTGTGGATAAAGTTAAGGAACTAGCGGCGCATGGTGTTATCCTGGTAGGACGCCTTTGTTCCTCGTATTGTACGGAACAATGAACTAATTGGGATTTTTTTTAGGTATCTGCAGTCGGGAATGATGGGCCTCACTATGGCTTGCTGTCCAATCCAGCGGATCAAATCGAGGTCATCGGTGTAGGTGGGGTCACTAAGAACAACGAGATCGCTGAGTTTTCATCACGTGGAATGACGACGTGGGAACTTCCGTTCGGATCTGGCCGCGTGAAGCCTGATATTGTTACGCTAGCTGAAGATGTTCCTGGGGCGGATGCCTCTGGTGGGTGTAAAATGCTGTCTGGAACAAGTGCGTCAGCTCCGATTGTATCGGCGTCAATAGCTGTTCTGGCGTCCATAATCCCTGCGGAAGAAAGGCGGAACCTGCTGAACCCAGCGTCGATAAAGCAGATTTTACTTGAAAGTGCCGACAAACTCGCAGCTCGCCACGATTCTGAGTATGTGGTTCGAAACCACATTTTCGAGCAAGGGAATGGCGCTCTGAACATCTCCAAAGCCAGCGAAATGGTGGAAAAACTATGGACGAGCTTTCAAATCGCACAAAATGCCACACGAACAGACACCGAGGTCGCTCCGAACGTCCTGAAGCCAAGCTCTTTCTCAGACAGAGTCAACCTGACAGACTGCCCTCGAATGTGGCCGTACTGTTCGCAGCCACTTTATCACAGTGCGTTGCCTCTTATGGTCAATTTGACGATCATGAACCCTGCATCTGTCGTGGGTAGAATCCGGAACCCTCCACAGTGGATAAATGGCAATAACGGTGAGCATTTGACGATCTCGACGACGTCATCTTCTGCGATATGGCCGTATTTTGGCTCGATTGGCGTCTTCATCGAAGTCAAAGAGAAAGCTGCTGCCTTTGAGGGAATTGCGCAGGGAACACTGCGACTGGAACTGGACAACGGCAACCACGTGGACGAGCTGCTTATCCCAGTGACTGTCAAGATTATTCCTACTCCACCTGCGTCCAAACGAATTTTGTGGGACCAGTTCCACAATATCCCCTACCCGTCTGCGTTCGTGCCGCGAGACAACCTCGAAAACCAGCGTGATCTCATGGACGTAGCAGGCGATCACCCACACACGAACTATTACCAAACGTGGAACTTTTTGACTGGCGAAGGTTTCTTCGTGGAGATCTTACCGTTTGAATACTCGTGCTTGGATCTCGGGAAATACGGCGTTGTCATGGTTGTCGACCCCGAGGAAGAATTCTTTCGAGATGAAATTGTGGCACTCCAAGCTGCAGTCAAGTATTCGAAGGTGTCGCTTATCGTGTTTGCTGACTGGTACGACAACCGCATGCTGGATTCTCTGCAGCTTTTTGATACGAGCACATTAAGCAAATGGCACGCTATCACTGGTGGGTCGAATGTCCCTGCTATTAACGAGCTGCTGCGTGATTTCCACATCGCATTTGGAGACGGTGTGGTGCACAGCTCGAGTATATCACTCATGGATTCAGGCAACGACTCGTCGTTCCCGTACTGGTCTGGATCGTACCTCACGAACTTCCCTGTAGGAGGATATCTGGGCTATATCGACGCTGTCGATCAAAGCGCCAAAACGTTGAATGGGTCCGAGAAAACACTGGTGGACGTTCCGGTGCTGGGACTTTACGAAGTGCCTTCCGTCTACGGTGGTCGCATTGCGGTGTTCGGAGACAGCTCGTGTCTCGACTCTAACGTGCACCCTGCAGCGAAATTCCGCCACTGTTTCGGAATGTTACGGACAATATTACGTTTTACGAACGACGCTGTGCTCCCACTTGCAGTCTCTCCACAGGACGAATCAGTCAGCGCAGGACTGCAACGTCTCGAGTTGGAATTCGTCGCCGACAAGTCACAGTTGCACCCTCTTGAGGACTTGCAAGACGAAGACATTTGGCACCTACGTGCTCGCTACAATGAGTTTGCGAAACACTCCAAAGTGCTCCAAGCCAGTCAAGGAAAGGCAACGCATCGTAGTTTCTGCAAGTTCTACGCCAAGGAGAAATGTGTCGAGGCAACTGCAGCGCCTGTTACCTGATTCTCACACGTCACATAGTCACTCAATCGAGGGAGAATTGTCATTTAAGCGACTGGAAACGAGACCATGACGACGACGAGCTCCGCTGCCGGCTCGGTGGAGCTGTACATGGTTTTGTCCAACAAGAGTGGCCGCCAGAATCTGGGCACGTATCTGCGCACTGCGTCCGCCTTCGGGACGACTCAAGTTTTAGTCGGTGAGTGCGAGAATATCTCGAGGACAATTGCTTCGCATCTTTTGGGCTGGATAAATCGTTGACTGTTTACGGACGAGCAGTGGGCTCCGAGCGCTTCGGTACTCATGGAGCACACCGAGCGCAGAAGTACGTGGATGTTGTGCATTCTACGACTTCACAGAGGCTCGCGGGTACCTGAAGACTAAAGGCTGCACTATCTTCGGACTGAGTAAACAGTCAGCCGGATTCCTTGGTACGCTCGAGGCTTGGCAACGTCTTAAATTTTTGAGCTTGAAATTCTTGCTAAAAATCGCGCCAGGAATCTTTGAATTGACAGGGTTGATATCTTATGTGTGATGTATCAGCGGCGCACGCCACACCCTACGAAGGAACCAGCGCATTCGTCATCGACAACGAGGTTCGTTAATGAGGCACCAGGCGTCATCAACAGGTCGACGCTGAGCTAATTTGTTTATTAATGACCCAGTTCCCTGGCCTGTCGGAAGAGCAGCGTGCTATCTGCGACCACTTCGTCCACGTGCCTTTCCACGGCGAGCAGACCGAAGCTTCCAGTCACCTCACACTGGACACCACAGTGGTCACAGCAATCACACTGCACCACTTCACTGCGTTCGCGCAGTTCCCTATGCGTGCAATCGAGGCCACTAACACTCAAGGTAAATTCGTACTAGACGCATATCCAACGTTCGACCCAGCGCACAACGAGCGCGGCCAAGAGAAGGCAGCAATGCGCGAAGCCAAACGCGCCAACGCTGACGACGGACTCGCAGAAGGAGACGGACTTGGCAACATGTTTGGGTGAATAAAAAAAGGAAACAAAAATGCACGCTGCTCATATTAAGTTATCGGTCCGAGCGACTCAGCAGTTGGGAAAATGGAGAAGAAGGCCGAGACAAAACACGCATTCAGTAACTCCCTTTGGTGCGTTCTTCTCCGTGTTTACAGTTTTTTAAACTCTTCCGTCGAGTTTTTGTTGTCGCCTTTGGCGGTGATAGTGTCTGCGTTGAGATGCGCAGTGCGTCAGTGTCGTTGTCACCTTTGGTCTATACGGCCCTGTTGAAGCCCATGAGATGCATATCGAACGCGTGTTGCGTCGCCTGTTTCCTCTTGCGTTCCAGAAGAACAGCTTCACATGATCGGCAAGTTTTGATCTTGTCGTCCGGGTCGTCGTCATCCCGCACGAACGGGATCGCACTGACAGCGGCTGACGGTTTTAAGCACTGCGAGCAAAAGAGCATGCCGCAGTGATAGCAGTTGCACTGGTGGGCGCGCATGTGCATGCCCAGTACCCTCTTCATCATGTTGCCGAACGCCTTTTTGGAGTTAATTAGTGCCGGGGACTTGCATCGCATGCAAGTGCTGCGTTGTGTCATTGGTAGGTAGGCTGGCACCTTGTTGATGCTGCGTATCATGAACTGTTTGACGCGGTTGGGCGCCACTTCGTAGCACATGAGGCCGTCCGTGTTCAGTTGCAACATGGAAGCGCCAAAAGCGACCAACACTCCGGAAATCACGGGTAAGTCGCGACGCGCTGCGATGTGCAACAGAGCAACTCCATCTGCCTCTGTGTTCGGGTCGGCTCCGGCCTCTAGCAGTTTCACGATGAGCGTCGGGTTGTCGATCTTGAGTGTGAGTATGTGCACGGCTATTGGCGTGAGGCCGCGCTTGTTCTGCACATTGATATTGGCGCCCGCTTCCAGTAGCCTCTCGGTGATAGTGAGACACATGGGATGCCTCCAGTTGCCTGCGGCGAAGTGCAGCGCTGTATTGCCGTTTAAATCAGGAGCGTCTAGTAGCTCGTCGATGCTCTCGTGTTCGAGGAGCGCGTCTAGTATCTGTACATCGCCCTTGCGTACGGCGATGTGAAATGGTGTCTGGCCATGGTTCGGCTCACGTAGAGCCAGTAGCACGGACGAGATAGTGGAGCCTGTGCTAGTAATGCTGCTGGAACGCGTGAAGCTGGCCGAAGATGAGGTAATGGACGTCTCTAGCGCTGAGTCCCGCACGTTGTAGCCACGTTTGTTCAGCAGACCCAACATGTTCCTGAGGAAAACCTCGTCTGCGGTTGTCTTGCCTGTGGGCAATGGAGGCCGACCAGTACTGCTAGCGTGGCTGTGGTTGTTGCTCTCCTCCTCATCCGAGCTGACCGCTGTGCCCTCTGGGGACTCAGTCGCCTTGGTTTTCGTCAGTGGCGGCTCCACGTCCAGCATGAAACTCGAGTTTCGCAGGTCGACCATCGCCATTGGCGATTGATTCTCTCGGTATAGGAGTCCTCACCGACCCCCAGCCTCGAGGGTTTCTTCTCGCTACCTAGGTAATGCAGAAATGCCGATACAAGAGCTTTGCTCCGAACACCCACTCCGAATAGTGCGCTGTGGCGGGATTCGGCTGAGAAATGTCAAGCGTGCACTGTCTTCCGTTACCGCATGGTGTGCAAAACACTGATTGTAATAGCTGGTAGCAACAGAAGGATATGACTGGTAATAGCTGCTGACCACTATTTTTAAAATTGCTACTGTGAAAAAAACCATCGCCGATCCAGGAGCAGTACTATCTGAGAAGCTTACAAAAACCTACTACCTCCGCAAAAACCTACTACTATTTAGCAATACTTCATTACAAGTAAGTAATTTTACAAATGATAAATTTTCTTGTACTATTCTTGTCTTGATAATACTACACGAGTACCGTGAAAAAGTTCTGTTGGTGACAAGAGTACATGCCGGTCACCCCGCGCCTTTCTGCGCAATTCTCGTGCTAACTCTGCAGTCTGCTTGGAAAAAGTAAGCCAAAAGGAAAATCATGATTTGGCTGTGCCTGATTGTTTTTCACTTGTACTTTAGCCGCCTCTGGATTTGAGCCCTCAGCTTCGACAACTCTCAAGCGGACACGTCAGTGGCAAAATGAAACTTCAGAAACCACAGAAACGCCTTATCGCTTGCTGCCAGCGGTGCTACGAGTTCTAGGGCTGTGGACTGGCGTTCTGCTTGGAATGGCGGATCCCAGCCCGAACTCGCCAGCTGTGGCATTTTCAAAAACGGTCCAAGATTGCCAACGTCGAAATGGATTTGCTCGCAGTGCCTCTCGTCGAGCACTACTGTACATGTATTAATACAGTGTATTATAATACACTGAGTGTATTAAAAACTCGTTCCGGTAATACCGGTAGTAGTACTTCAAGTAAAACACTTGGCAATTTGCCAGTCAATGTGTTCGCTGCTGTAGCAGTGTTTGCATACAGCAGCTTCTATATATATATTCTCCCACGTCCGTGGCAAATTGCTTCTTAAAGTACTGACATGATTATAGCGAGAGGCATAGCCAACACTGATTGTCGCTCGCGATGAGATCAAGCCTTGACCGCACCTTGATTCAAGGTGCCCCGAGCAAGATAAAATGGCGGTTGCTCCGAGCAACCGCCATTTCCCCCTTCAGCCATGGTTTGCTCGAGCAAGACAAGCTCGCTTTGCAGCAAAAGTGGATTGTCGCCCGCAGAACATCGCAGATCTTAGCGCAAGTAACACAATACTTGAAGAATTGCCTCAGGCGTGTTTGAGTTAGCTTTGCTTTTTTCAGCGAGTGCTGTGAGGAGCTGGTACGCGGTGAACATTACGAGCAGTGCTCTGAGAACCACCGCAAATGGATGAGCATGCGACTAGCGCTTGCAGCCACCGAACTCAGCTTTACTGGGTCGAATCAGTGCTGGTAACGAACGAGTGGAGCTGCATCTTGACTTCTGACGCGCACATGTTGCAACTACCGCTCGCCTATTAGCTGTAAATGAAAACAATATCAACCGCGACGTATCCAAGCAGAAACTGAAAAAAAACAGCGCCAACGATCGAAGACGACGAGCTCCACAGTGGCGCTTGTCATATCCATCTGGCTGGTGTGGCAATGGTGTGCGACCAGGAGATGAACGTGGGTTCACGCCGTGAACCCACGTTCGTGAACTTCACGGTGATCCACCCCGCTGATATGTCGTAAACTTCCACCCTGTAGTGACTCTCTAGTTATGTAGAGACTCTACTAGAGCTCTACTACATGTACTTCGAAGCAGGGATGCCGAAAAATAAATTGGTGCTGCAATTATTGCAATAAGAAAGCACCAATTATCTATTGGAGACTTTCTGGAGAGGAAGATCAATTATTTATTTTCGCTCCCGTTGTAGCACCAATAATCTATTGGGCGGTGTTTAATTGGCCATACATTCTTTGATACTGGTGCCGTACCAATTTTGCTGAGGAAGTTCAATAATCTATTTTGGTCTAGTCAGCCCTCTAACCCAATTATTTATTTTCTGCTTTGATTAGCAATAGATAAAAATGCAATATTCGGCATCCCTGCTTCGAAGTACTGTAGCATTTTGTCAGGCAAGCCACGATCTCTTTTTGTCCAATGAGAGTAATTTTTGTGTGTGATTGCCTATCAAAGGGCCCAATGTGACTCATTCGACAAAAGAAGCACCTGAGATCAAGACTCTGCCGCAGGAGAGAACGTCCCCAATATGGTCGGGGTATTGCGCGCTGCTTCGCTGTTAGCTGTCGCTATGTTGGCGGCGTGCGCGGAGGCGAAGGATCGCTGCACTGCTATTATCGTCGGAGCGAAGGTACATAACCCTCGCTTTTAAAAGTGGACATCGATGTATTGTGTTGACATAAATCCAATTGCGATGCAGGCATCGACCACTGGTACACCGATGACGACGCACACAAACGACTGCTCATCCTGCGACTTCCGCATTGCCAAAGTGCCGGCCCAGACGCACGAAGATGGAGCTCAGCACGACGTCGTGCTCGCAGCTTTCGACTACCCGCGCTACGGTAAATCAGGATCTTTGCGAATAGTGTTAAAAGGTTGCTAACTGTTGTATCTGTACTGTTCGCCCAGTGGGTGGCACTCGTGGCAAGGAATACCTTCCGGAGAATCTAGACTCGCGTTTCTATAACTGGACGGCGACCCCTGCTATTGGCAGCATCCCGGAAGTGCCTCAGACGTTCGCCTACATCGAAGGTGCCTATGGTATCATCAACGAACACCAGGTGGCTATCGGTGAGAGTACGTGTCCCGCGCGGTTCTGGACCAAGCCAGTTACGGAAGGAGGCGAGGCTTTGTTTGATGTTGGGGAGCTCTCTCGCATAGCACTGCAACGTGCCCAGACTGCACGTGAGGCAGTCCAGTTGATGGGAGATCTTGCCGTGCAATACGGATACTACGGTGCTGAATGGGAAGGCAACGACGTGTATGACGAGGCCGGTGAAGCACTTACGGTTACGGACACTAAAGAGGCGTGGATTTTCCATATCCTACCGGACGACACTGGCCGGTCGGCTATTTGGGCTGCCCAGCGCGTCCCGGACGACCAGATGAGCGGCGTAGCCAACCAATTCGTGATCCGTGAACTGGATTTAGACCGCCCGGCATATTTCCTTGCATCCCCAAACGTCCACGACGTGGCTATCCGCAACAACCTTTGGAAGCCTGACGACGGCACTCCGTTTGACTTTACTCGCGCGTACGCTCAGCCTCGCAAGGATACGCATCAGTATTACTCCACACGTAGAGTTTGGCGCTTGTTCACACTGGCTAACCCGGAGCTGAAGCTGTCCCCGGAAACTGATGTACTTGCCAGTGACTACCCGTTCTCCGTTAAACCGGCGTCTCCTCTGTCCCCGCGCGACATCATGCGCTTCCAGCGGGACCATTATGAGGGCACGCCATTTGACATGACCAAGGGACCGAAGAGCGGTCCGTATGGCGATCCTGACCGATACGATGCAGCCCCGAACGGAGATCTCACTCAGGAAGACATTGACCGTGGCCACTTCGAGCGAGCAATCTCGATCTTCCGTGCTAGCTACTCGTTTGTATCCATCTTGGACCCTTACAACCCGGACAACGCCTTCCTCTGGTTCGGCCAGTATGCCCCGCACGCCACCACATACACTCCTGTGTTTGTGCAGTCAACTGATGTCCCCAAGCAACTCGCACGTGGTTCGTTGTATGCTTTTGATCGCGAGTCGTCTTTCTGGATCCATGCGCTGGTTGGAAACTGGGCTGCACGCTTCTACTCGTACGCCCGTCCATTTGTTGCTAGAGTCCAGGACGAGGTGGAGAGTCACGCTGACGGTATGCTACGTAGCGTGTTGATCGAGGCTGCACGACACAAACGGGAAGGCGGCGTGCCGGCCATGGTGGAGTTCCTTACCAAGCAGAGTGACACGTTTGCTCAGCGAGCGCACAAAGCCTCGTCAGATCTGTTCGACTACCTGGTCACCGCTTTCCACGACGGCTACCAGGTCTCCAACTTTTACGCCAAGATGCTGACGGTTCAGTCCATCTTCTACCCCAAGTGGTGGCTGCAGCAGGTTGGCTTCTTCGATGGTGCAGAAGATAGTAGTGACGCTGAGCCTGCGTCGACTGAGGCTGCTACCACCGCTCCAACATCGTCAAGTGGTGGAGCCACTGCCACCGCCAAGGCTGTGATCGTTGAGGTGGCGCACAAGGGCTCCGTCTCGTACTTTACCACCACTGTTCTTGTGATCCTCTCGGGGCTTGCTGGCCTCTTCCTCGGGCGCAAGTTCCACGGACCGCTCACGAACAAGAAGCAGGGTTACCGGCCGCTGCAGTAGGCGCACTGCGCTGTCTATTGTGTTTTGTTGCCTTTAACTTGTGTAGCCATTTCAATACTTTGTTCAGAATGACGGTAAAGTCTGACGCACGTCTGGTACCAAATCTATGGTACATTCTCGAACCTCGGCTCTTCCGTCGTCAGTATCAAATTAACCGCTTGGAGCGAAAATGTCGAGTGTGACTCTCCACGTGTACGACTTGAGCAACGGCATGGCGCGGCAGCTATCGCCAGCACTACTGGGCAAGACAATCGACGGGGTGTGGCACACGGGTGTGCTGGTGTTTGGCAAGGAATACTTCTTCGGCGGCGGCGGTATTCAGGCCATGCAGCCGGAATTGGTGGTACAGCGCTATGGTATGCACCCCGTGCGTACCATCACACTGGGTGAGACGAGTTTGACACAACAGCAGTTGGAACAATATCTGCGCGAGAACAGTGCGCGCTTTACGGACGCTACTTATGACCTGCTGCGCCACAATTGCAACAACTTTTCGGACGACGTGTCCAAGTTTCTCGTTGGGTCGGGTATTCCACAGTACATTCTGGACCTGCCGAATGAGGCGCTCAACTCGCCATTTGGGTACGTTCAACGGAGGAGCTATTGCAATATTGAGAGCGATAGTGGATCTGACTTGATGTTTTTGTGACGATAGAGCAATGCTGAGACCCATGCTGGAGAACATGAACAACCAGATGCACGCGGCACCAGGCGACCAACTCTTCTCGATCCCATTTAATGACCCGTCACGTGCCAACCTCGTCGTGCCTGCTGCTGCCTCATCATCTGCTGCTACTCCATCGGTAGAACTAGCGTCGCGTCGGTTTAAAATCTCCGGGTCGCCTGCCCTCTACTTGGAGAGGATGGTACAGCTCATTAAAGAACGCAACACAGAGAAACTACTGTCTGAAGATGAAGTCTCAGAGCTTGATGCCTTGTCGGCACACGTCGGGGAGGACAATAAGGAAGCTGAATCGACTAAGAGCGTAGAATGGTGGAAGATTGCTAGCAAGTTGCTGTCTCAAGGACACGAGTCCGCGCTCTTCTTCCCAGCGCTGGGCTTGATTCGCGTGCTGTTTCTCCAGCCAGCTCACTCGCAGGCTACAACAGAGAAGAACGCGTGCTTTGAGGCCATTGTTCACGCCTCAGAAATCGAACCTTCGTCACTGACGTCCGCACAGAAGACTCTGCTACTGGCTGTGCTGCTGAACGCCTTTGCTAACCCCGGATTCAGTGACATGGCGCTCTCCACCTCGACACGTTTTCTTCCTTTCGTGTTCGCTACGATCGCCGATCCGTCCACCAGCCAAGAAGCGCGTGTGCTGAGTGCTCACATCATCAGCAACTGCTGCTTGGCAATGAAGATTGGAGAGGAAGTGGTGGTCACTACCATCGTCTGTGGTGCTGTGGAGACGCTCGATCGAATCTCAAGGCTCCAACCTACTTCTGCTCTACATCAACAAACCATCGAAGGAATTATCGTCGGCCTTGGCCGCTTGCTGCACAAATTTGAAGCTGCTCGCACTCTGTCGGTTGAACTTGGCCTCGCTGAAGTCATCCGCCGCCTGAACGTAACACCAGGCCTCAATGCCATCCAGCCACTGCTCTCCGAAGTTGTGCAGTTGATTTAGATACGATAAGAAGAAGAGCACGTTGTCCAAACATGAATTAATACCGGTACCGGTATTGATATACCTGATTCATTTACCGCTAAAACATAAGATATTCTACCTAATCAATTCCCCTTGGCTCACTTTCGCATTCCCAGTCGAACTTACGAACACGATGCAGCTCGTGAAGCAGGTCAAGTCCTTCGGGGGCGTCATCAAACAGTACTCGCATGAGAGTGCCACCACCAAGTGTACCATGAAGTTCAGTATCTTCCTCCCACCAAATGCCAGCGACAGCCACAAGGTGCCTGTGCTGTTCTACCTGGCGGGACTCACGTGCAACGACGAGTTGCTGTTCGTCAAGGCTCCCGAGGCGCAGAAGGTGGCGGCCAGCCGCGGCATCGCCATTGTCACTACAGACACCAGTCCGCGTGGTGTGAGCATCCCCGGAGACGAGGATAATTGGGACTTTGGCACTGGCGCAGGCTTCTATGTGGACGCCACGGAATCCAAATGGGACGAGCACTACCGCATGTACTCGTACGTGACCAAGGAGCTACCAGCACTCATCACCGCCAATTTCCCTGTGCTGGAGGACAAGCACTCCATTATGGGGCACTCAATGGGTGGACACGGCGCGCTGGTTCTCGGAATTCGCAACCCGGTACGGAGCTTTGTTGGTCTGCTCTAGAAACTATGAATACTGATGTGTACTTATTGATACAGACCCAATACAAGTCCATCTCGGCGTTTGCACCCATTTCGCACCCGAGCCAGTGTCCGTGGGGAATTAAGGCCTTCACTGGCTACTTGGGCGTCGACCAGGAGACCTGGAAGCAATATGATGCGACGCAACTTATCCTTAACCAGGGCCCGATCCCCCACACGATCCTGATCGACCAAGGTCGCGAAGACAACTTCTTACATGACAAGCAGCTGCTGCCAGAAGCTTTCGAGGCAGCCTGCAACTCGGTGGGCCAGAAGGTGACGCTCCGCATGCAGGATGGATACGATCACAGCTATTACTTCATCGCCTCCTTCGTGGAGGAACACGTCAACCACCACGCAGACGCTCTGCTTCAGTAGAGCTACGTCCGAGTCATAATAAAGACTCGTTTACTGCTACAAGCCAAGAGAAATGTCAAGTGAAAATACGAAGCTTCATACTTTAGCTATCGTCTAAAATTGTTCTACTTCTACTACGTTTAAAGGGACAGCTATAGCCCCCTTCGTCCTATCATGTTTGCAGCGGCTCTTGTTGAAGAGAGCCGAGGCCGTTGAAATTAGAGGAAGAAGACATTGTGATGTCCCTTGATGAGGACGAAATAGGCAGGCATGGAGCTGAGCAGTATGGTCCGGATAATGAGAGCTCAACTGGCTCCTTGCTTGGTGTCGATGCCGAGACACCCAGGAACGGAGTTGCGGGTGTCGAAGGCGCTGGTAGCGTTCTTTTCAGACGAACACGGCAGGATTGGTCGAACGTTATGTCTCCGAAGACGTAGCGGTATTCACAGAACTCTGGAAACTCGCAGTGCGCGTGACGATAGTTCCAGTAGCAGTCACTGTCGATGACTGGCGGGCGAGAGGACTACACCGAGCGTGTGTTAGTTTATAGCAGCTTGTGCAACAGGAAGTGGTTATAACTTACCTTGTCCGAGTTGGTTTTGCCATTGAAAATGTGACGCAACTCGGCGCGTAGCTCGCGCAGAAATGCTGGGTTGGAGAGAATATCACGATGACCCACTCCATCGATTTCCCACACACCCGTCTGCATATGACGAGGCAAAACACATAGCGTTATTATAGTACAGTGGATATTGCGGACAGTGTTCCAGTTCCGTACGTACCGATTGAGCAACTCCATCCACTTCCTTGGAGCTCTCGAAGAATGTGATCCTGTCGCGGTTAAGTGGCCCGAAGAGCCCAGCGAAGAAGCCTGCGGTGCCACTGAAAGAAGAGGATGCGTCGTCTGCCTCGCAAATGGGCAAGTTGCCATTCAACAGCGAGTATTCCGCGTGGTGATTGCTTGCGTGTCGTACAGCACGAACTCGCGTGATGTTTTCGGCCGAGAAGTAAACGGATTGTGGAGTCTGGGTGACACGCACTGAAGAGCCCTTAGAGCCCAGCCACGTGTGCGCATATGAGAGCGAATGATACGGCACAGTGCCGTCTCCCGTCTTGCTGCAGGTTTGCTCGTGGCCTTCTTCATTCGTGAACTGCACCTGGAACCAGTGGCCAGGTGTTTCTGCATTTTCATACTCGTAAAATATCTTAGTCTGTTGAAAAACGAGTAGCGTTAGATAAATGAACCTGGATCAATACTAATTCGAAAACGTCGTACCGGAACATTGACGCCGTAAACACTGTAGACAGAAGCAATCGGAGGACGTTCCCAAGGTTTAAAGAAGTCGAGAACGGGGTCATCCACGTAGAATTTCTGGCGCAGAGTCTCCAATTTACCGAAGATCGGGTCGTGTGCAGACATATCGCGGAAAAGCTGACCTGATGCAATGTCAGCGCTGGTGTAGTTGCGAGACAGCACTGGGTCGTCACTGGGGATAATTCCCTGCTGAGCGCGCACTGTAATAAGCACTTCATCGTCCTTGGGCGAATTTAAACCAGAAGGGATCGGCATGAAGCTCAAGATGGAGCCTACACACATACACGAAGAGTAAGATATTGCCAGCATCAGTAACAAACAATCAAGGTCGTACCAAACGAAACCACGAGTTTGCGCATTTCGCTCTGCGTGATTGGTAACCCTTCCGTAATCCCTGAAGTGATGAGCTCCATTGACTCGGCACTTCCGAGTAGTGGCGATCCGACTGCGAAATACGCCGAGATGTGGGCATCAATCCATTTCTGCCAGTTATTCCTCCCCACCTCCTCCTTCAGCCACTCGAGGAAATAGCGGAAGACGCCGTTGCCCATCGAGTGCGCAATCACGACAAGTCCCCCATTGTTGCCGTCCAGCGTCACCGTGTACTCAACTAAGACAACAACACACCTCAAATAGTCAGCGCCTATTATCCAGCTATCACTTCCAGCAACTTACTTTTCTTTTTGAGCGAAAAGAAGTATTTATCACGTTCCTGCAGCTTACTGGGTGGCAGTCTCCAGTCGTAAGTGGCGACCACCAATTGATCCGGGTCCAGCTCGAAGTGGTCCACCAGATCGTGAATGATACTGCGCCACACCGTCGATAATGGACCTGTAACGATGCCCGGATCCAGCTCAGACACCGCTTCCAGGCCTTGTGCAGCTCTACGGATAGTCCGTCAAGAAGCAAAAACTCATTAGTCGAAACGATCCACTCACTGAACTGTATCCGCTGACAGTGCAACTGCGTACCGCAACTTGCACTCGAGTTCCTCCTGCGTCGTGATGTCCAGCTTCATGCAGCGGATCCAGCAGTCGCTTTGCGCCAATACGCGCGCCACATCAACCCAGACGCGGTCGCCGAATTTGATGTCCCGATACAAATTCTTGCGGAACCCGGTCTCGCAGCGACGATGGCTCCAGGATTGCAGCTGTGATGATGCGAAACCCGGCATCAACAACACAGGACGCGTCCGCATCACGCCCTCCTTGGAAAACGTTAAGACCAGCAGCGATGCCAGCAGCAGCAATCGCAGCGCCATCTTCTTCTCTCGGGTCGAGTGATAAAGTGTGCGCCAATCGTCGCTGCAGACGACAGTCGAGCCTTTCGACCAGTTTCACTGCAGAACGGAGACCATTGTCGCAATGCGTAGGCTGATTCGAAGCAGTTGTGACACAACTTGTGTAGGTTTGGAGTAGAGACAGGCCCGTTTTGATGACTCCAACGTTTGGAACAGATGTTTAGACTAGTGACGTCGCCAGAAGTGACGAAGGCGCATGATATAAATAGCTTAAATTTAAGAAATAAAAAATAGCAACAGTGGCGTTGCCTTGTTGGCGACCTGCACTGGGGCAGCATGGCTTTCTACTGGGAGTGCGCATCGTTCCCATTGGCGATGGCACCATGGTGCAGTGAATCGAGACGGCAGCAAAAGATTCTCGCTCGTGTGGCGGTGGCAGAGCAGCGGACGCCGGGCTTTGCGCTGCGTTTTGACCTGGAACTACTCGAGGAGGCAGAGATGCAGGGTGATCCCAGCGTGTTGATGCCCTGTATGCACTTGATGCGGCTCGTGAACCAGCGGCAGATGCTGCGTGCCTTTGAATTTGCATTTGCCGGCGCCGGGGCGGAGAAACGACGGCCGGGAGGGGAAGAAGCAGACGACGAATTATTGGACCTGAGACTGAAAAAGTGGCTGGCAGGTGGCGGCCGGGTGCCAGCACCACCCAAAGAAGAGCTGGTGAAATGGCTACTGACCTGGATGGTTATCACACCTACAACGGCGGATTCCGACAGTGGGAAGTGGCCAGATTGGCTTGTGCTCATGTGCGGAGAAAAAGTGGCCGAGTACGCAATTGGGGATGACAACATGGACTTGGCTTTCGACGAGTCCGGCGATGCAAGTGATCCAGTGTATTATGAGGGTAACGATAACGGCGACAATGATGACCGTAGTGGTAGTGTGAGTGGAGGAGAAACGGAGGACGACGACGATTTGCCGCCTCCGTACGAGATAGTTGAAGTTTCTGAGTCAAAGGATTCACCAGACTCTGAAGATGAAAATGACTTTGGAAATGAAGAACAAGCGAATGAGCAAAATACAACGCGGCTTCTGGGAGCCACTCATTCAAATCGAAGTTTACAAACCCAGGATCAAAATTCAATGCAGCAAATGAAACGACGATCATCGATCCGCAGTAGCAGTAGTCGAAGCCTTGCGAGTGCTACAAGTAAAGTTTCTTTACCTGAAAAGAAAGAGTTCAAACTAACTACAGTAAGATTGAACCCTCGCCTAAATTCTCTGGATGTGGATAAACTGGAGGAACCTTCCAACGAGTGGTCAGATGCTCGACGACATCTTCATAAGGAGCTAGGTGCATCGCGACGTGACGTTCAAACGGCAAAGCAACTCCAAGATAAAGCTGAAAAACTAGCGAATCTGCGTCATACCCAACTGGTGAAAGAGTCGGCTCGAAAGCTTCGCATAAATGAGCAAAAGCGTCGTGACGCCCAAGCAGTTCGACAGACAATTGCAGATACGTTGGAGTATCGAGACGAGTTGAATGCTATGGAGTCTCGCTTGAAACAAGCGGCCATCGCTGCTCATCGTCACCAGGAGCGACTGAAACGCCAAGCGCGCGTCGTAATGGGCAACATCGAAAAGACGCCAAACGGCACTATAAAGCTAGGTTCTGGACCGCTTTCCAAGAAGGAGATGGAGCTAATACTCGGCAGTAGTCGAACCGGAAGCGCAGTGTACGATCTCCATGGTCGCCGACGCAGTTTAGAAGAGGCAGATATGGTCACGAAAGAGACAGCTTTAGAGAGCGCAATGCGTAAGGTTCGACGACTAGTGTTGAGCTCTAAGAACGGTGTCGAAGTTTTCCGTCGGTACGATCTTGATCGTAGCAGGACACTCAGCTACAGTGAGTTTCAGCGCTTGCTCCGCGAAAACGGCACCGGTAATTCTCCTGAATTAACACAAGAACAAAGCTCGGCGTTGTTTAAACGCTTCGATCTTGACAGTAGTGGCGAGATACACTACGAGGAATTGCTTTGGGGATTTTTCAATCGGGAAGCGTTCCTGAAAAGGTGGCATGAACGAGAGAGCGCAAACACGACGGCGTCATCGGACGGCCATGTCAAAGAATCGTTTACGAAATATGATCCAAGTGGCCGAGGTGTATTGCCACTCAAAGATTTCCAATTGGTCTCGGATCATCTTGGCGTCACTCTTGGCGACGCAGATGCCACATTGTTAGCAGTGAAATTTGATGCTGGCAAGGACGGGTATGTTGACTACCATAAGTTCTTGAACTTTGTTAATCTTTCCGGAACGCAAGACCTATCATCAATTGCCAAACGTGATAATTCTGAGTCTACAACACCATCAGACTTCCACGCTCGTACAGCTCCACCTGGCATGGAGCGTATCTGGATGGAGTTGCAGGAACTTTCAACTACACAAGCAAAACTCCATCGCCTTCTTCAAAAATGATCAAAAGTTAAAGCCACCCATTTGACGTGACGCGCTGGCAGAGACTGATGTCTCGTTTTGTTGAGAGTCTTGAATTCACTTCAAGCAGCTCATCAAAGTTACCAGGTTTCACAAAATGTGTTTCTATTTCGCTGTTTTAGAGTGGTTGCAGCGTCTCGAGTGGCCATCGAGGCTGATATCGTGCAGGCTCTGGATCGCTACGCATACCCTTAGCGTATCGCTCGAGCCCTGCCCAAGCAACCATGACGCCGTTGTCAGTGCAATATTTGGCCGGTGGGAACACAGCTGCTACTTCTTCTTCTGCTGCCGCCGCCTGCATCCGGTCTCGGAGATACTGATTCGATGCCACACCACCGCACACAACCTAGAAACGAACGGTGACGTTAGTACAGAAAACTCGATTGGCTCCATGTGGATTCTAGCGTACGAGGCTCGTGATGTTATCCCCCAACCGGTCTTTGCTCCATTGACATGCTCGGCGCGTTCGAGTGATTAACTGATCAACTGCTTTTCGCTGATAAATGAGAAGGACAAAGCATTAAAGCTATTAGCCTGGATGTCAACAGGACACGATCATGCATCGCTCATACCTGGAAAGAGGCGCACAGGTCCTCCTTCATTTTTTCGTCTAATTCGCCAAGCTGTGGAGGTAGCGATAAGTTGTTCAAGCGCGATGAAGGAAGCACTATAGTAGTGCTACTCACCTTTTTAACCTCTCGTAGCATAGCTGTCTTGATCCCTGAGTAAGAGAAGTCGCAATCCTACGATACTGTAGGTTAGATCAGCGCACAGGACAGGCGTAAAGTAGCAAGCCCACCTTCCGATGCTTCATGGGCTCTGTGAATGGAAAAGCACGGTCGTTGCCGCGCGCAGCCATATCCTCAATCAGCTTGCCACCATGCACCCCTTTGCCGCTTGAAGCAGTAATATCCAGCATTCGAGCCACCTTGTCGTAGGCTTCGCCAATGGAATCGTCGAGTGTATTTCCCAACAGCTCGTAATCTCCCAGACCCTTGGCTAGAACAAGGCAGCAGTGACCACCAGACACCAAGAGCACGACGAAAGGAAATTCCGGTCGTGGCGTTTCAAGCTAGCAAAAGCGTAAGGGAAACAATACGTTAATGACGCTGTCCGTTAGTTATTATCAGTGCACCCGCAGATACGTACTTGTGGCAAGCGTGACACAAGAACATGGGCCTGCCAATACAAAACTGTGAGTTTCAGTCCGCGCACCTCCTATTGTTCGTTTTTCGTCGCACCTCCAGGTGGTTGATCTGCAGGAACGCGATGTCCGGGTTGTCGAGGCAGATTTGACGTGCTGTCCGCAGTCCCACATCCAGACACGGGGCCAGTCCGGGACCGGAAGTCACTGCCACCGCCGACAACTGCTGGAGACTTTCCAGTCCACTAGTAGCATGTATAAGAGTGCATGAGTATCTATTGTACAAACACAGTAAGCTTATCATCGTCAATGTTTGTCACCTCTGCTCAAGGGCAGCGTTGATCACATGCGGAAGATTGTTCTCGTGAGCTCGAGCCGCCAGCGCTGGGACGATCCCTACAGCAACATTATAGTACCGTCAAGCCAGCCGAAACTATTGCAAATTGCAGTGGTACAATTCACAAACCTCTCCACTTGGCGTTGAGCTCCCACTGAGACGAGATAACGTTGCTGAGCACACGTCCGTCCTGGTCCAACACTGCTGCTGCTGTGTCGTCGCAGCTACAATACCGAGCAGCATCTTAGACGCTAGCTCTGGTACGACACAATCTAGATTTAGTGAATTGCAAAGTACCTGGTCTCAATGCCCAGCGTATACGACGCATGGCGCGCCGCCACAGGCCGCAAGCGTCGTACTCTTGCTGGCCGCAGCATTGACGCACTTATGAGACTTATGTAGTCTACATAATGTGTGTGTACAACACCATCTCTAGGTTTTTCCATCCAAGGTTTTTCTCTGTCCGGTATTGTTAGACCGACTGACGCGTAGGGGCAGCCAGGGGACGACGCCGGAAGAAGTAATAGACAGCAATGGCCGTGACGGGGGAGAAGGACGTGGCCACTATGGCCCGACAGATCGCAGAGGTAACACAGCGAGACGGCTGGAAGTCAGATAAGAGCGTAGTGCCCGACATGCAGCGGCTACTGGGAAAGCTCACGACTCTGAAAGTGGATAAAGACTTGCTACAACGCACCAAGATCGGCGCGGCTGTTAATAAACTAAAGAAACACGACGACGAGATCGTACGCGGTTACAGTCAGAGCCTCACTAAGAAATGGAAGAACGAAGTGGGCATCGCTTCCTCTTCATCCTCGTCCAGTCGACCGCCGGAAAGACAGCGAGTTCCGAGTCCATCGCCGCCAAAACGAGGTCGGTACAATTCTTACAGTGTACACAGATAAAAGTGGTAGACTTACGTTCTCCCTTGTGTGTATGCACGACAGATCCAGGAGATCAGAAAAGACTTGAGAGCGCCAGGAAGAGATTACAGGAGGGTTATGCCAGTGAGAGAGCTAAGAGAGACTCCCGGACTGTACAGGTGCTCAGTGGGCCTATAGCCAAGGGACGGAGAGGTACGACGGTGTCTACCGCTCCATCGAGAAGCTCAATTGGCAGAGCGCAGCTGGCGCAGCGTCGACCGCTCTCTAGTGCGAACCACAGATCAGGATCGGCCCCACCAGTGGCTCGTCGAGTGCTGCCGGCGTCGAGAATGCAGCAACAGGCGAGACGTCCTGCTACTTCACTGGCTAACATGTACGCTATTAGATTTGTATGCTAAATAGCTGCGTTGGTGATGCTAATCAAGGGACAAATAACAGGTCAGCGGAAGAGAGACACCGACAGCGCCAGCTTAAATACAGAGCACTGTCAGGACAACCCGGTAATGGCAGTGATAGTGGCCGTCGGGAGCCTGAGCGCGCTCGGAGCAGTAGCAGTAACACTCAGGCGAATGGCCGAGCGAGACCTGGATCGCGACCCTCGAGTGCTTCGTCTTCGAGAGGCGGCTCAGCGCCTAGAGTTCCTCCTCCAGCAGTGGACGCGCGAAAAGCCATGTTGGATAAAATGTATCCTCGCGTGTGTGGTGTGGGCTCTGCATCCACTGCCAGTACGGGCGTAGCTAAGAAGAAAACCAGTACAGTAGCCAGGAGGAAGGAAGAGAACTACACAGAAGGACAGCGCGAAGTGTTGTCGTGGCTCAAGGGGCTGAGTGTGGACATGAGCGAGTACGCTCCAGCGTTCTTTGAGAACGGGTTCGACTCGGTCAAGCTGCTGAGTACGATCGAGAAGTCGGACTTGCCGTCTCTGGTACCGAAGAAAGGCCACCACCGTTTGATACAGCAGGCTCTGGACGACTTGCGGCATAAACATTCGACGTCTGCAGCTTCACAGCGACGTGATCGCTTCCCGAAGGAGTCGAGGATGCGACGTCGTGATCCCTTCGAGGACGAAGACTCGGACGACAGCTTTGTGGTGAGCGACGACGGAGAGTACCGTCCCGGACACATTGCTGCGATGTTCCGGAAGAACCGGAAGCGACAATATTCCTATGACTCGGACGACTCGATCAACATGGAAGCCTCGTTCGACGAGATTCAGAAGGAAGAAAAGCGCAGGTATGTTCGAAGCTTCAGCGGTAGTTGCTGTGAATATTGTATTGACGATGCTGTTGACATTCAGTGCTCTGTATGGAGAATACGAAGACTTCCGAGAGGACATGCGCAACAAGAAGATGCTTAAAAAGAAGAAGGCTGAGTAGCTGCGTGTAATCCACCCGCATGATCTACTGTTTGACTGATAGAACGCTAGTGCACACCTGGTAGACCATTCGGACAATACACAACGTCCCCGGCAATTAGAAACACACACAAGATACCGGTATCTCATTGCCACTCCAGCTCTATTTTAGAATATTCCATTGTTGAGGAATTTGCATGATAATCCCAGACTTTCATATTTTATACTGTAGTAAAATATCTTCATTTCTTTTTCACCACTTTCAATTTGAAGCTCAAGCAATGCTCTCCAAGTTGTCCTCACTGCGCCGCGCTGGCGGCAAGACGCTGCAGCTTCTGGCTTTGCCCACAAGCAAAAACGCACGCCCACGTCCTGTAAACGTTCCTACCAAAAATGAGCGCGAACAAGCGCGTCGTGCAGCTGTGGCGCTATCCGCCGTTGCCCTCACGTCTCTGGCGGCGAGTTACTCGACATCGGCGTCCTCCGAGGCGGCCACAAAGAAGGAAAAACAGATCAACGAGCCTCACTACCTTTCAACCGCTGAGGAATTCCTGTACCCACCTATTCAGCCCTTCAATACAGGCACACTCCAAGTCTCGCCGCTGCACGAGCTGTATTATGAAGAGTGTGGAAACCCGTACGGCAAGCCTGTCATCATGGTGCACGGTGGGCCGGGTGCGGGCTGCTCGGACAGCATGAGACGCTACCACGACCCACGAGTCTACCGCATCATCCTGCTGGACCAGCGCGGTTCGGGTCGCAGTAAACCTCACGCATCCCTGGAGGACAACACGACGTGGCCCTTGGTCGAGGACATGGAGAAGTTGCGTTGCCACTTAGGCATTGACAAGTGGCAGGTCTTTGGTGGATCCTGGGGCAGCACGCTGTCCATTTCTTACGCTGTAACGCACCCAACGCGAGTCACGGAGCTCGTGCTGCGTGGCATCTTCCATTTGCGCAAGCAGGAGATCGACTTTTACTACCAACACGGCGCGAACTTCATCTACCCAGACCGTTGGGAGGCATACCGAGACGCCATTCCCGAGGAAGAGCGTGGAGATTTCGTGAAGGCGTATCACAAACGTCTGACGAGTGACGACCCGAAGGTCCGCATCCCGGCGGCACTAGCTTGGACCACGTGGGAAAAGACCACGAGCAACTTGATCCCTCCAGTAAGTTTTGTACTGGTCTAGCGCGCTATACTTTGCATTGCAGGTCTAACGCGATTATTTATACTACAGTCAAATGCTGCGGACAAGTCGATGGACGAAGCGAAGTTCGCGGAGGCGTTTGCTCGCATTGAGAACCACTACTTCGTCAACAAGGGCTTCTTCCCTAATGATGAATTTCTGAACGAGAATGCCTACAAGATTCGTCACATTCCGACGGTCATCGTTCAGGGAAGGTGCGAGAACGTAGTCAGAGTGTGTATGTTGTATGCGTTTTAAGTGTTTGATCCATGTGTGATTCGTGACAGGTACGACGTCGTTTGCCCGATGAAGACAGCGTGGGACTTCCACAAGGCCTTCCCTGAGGCGGATTTCCGAGTGGTGCAGACTGCTGGCCACTCTGCTATGGAGCCGGGCATCGCTAAGGAGTTGGTGGACGCCACCAACAAATTCAAGACGTTTTAGCGCGTCTACGTGATAGATTTGTGCCTGAATATCGTGTGCACAAAGAGTAAACGTTGCGCTGACCAGGATGAGACGACGCAATTCATTCAAGAGAACGGCTGACGTGTTTGTTAAATATGGTCCATACAGTACAGTATGACCTCTCGGTTATTCTGTCTTGACAGTGGCCGGTTCTTGTTGCGGCTCATCAGTGCGTACCCTCTTGGTCGCAGCATCTACATGTACAGCGTTGGGTTTACGCTTTGCAGGCGCCCCCACCTTAGCCTTCTTGTAGCCTCCATGTTTGGCACAGAGGCCCGACGTACCTCGAGCACCTGTATTGCACCCTTCCACCGTGCAGCGATAGCCACCTCCGTGAAAGAGACACATGCTACTGCTGCCTTGTGCACCTTTCGGACAGTTCGGAGCGGCACAGCGCTTGCCCCCTCCATGTTTTTGACATAGTCCAGACTTGCCACGGGCACCTTTTGTACAGCCCGGTGATGCACAAGGTCGAAACACGTTCTTCGCACGAGGCTTCTTCGCCCCTGTACGCCGCGGCGTCCCCTCACTGGACCTCGCAACGTCTCCTTGCGGAGGGATGAACCCCGAGTGAGTTCCAGCGGCTCCATTCGTTGGAGTGGTGAGAGAGATAGAGCCAAGAGCAGAGGAAAACGTCTGCATGTTCTGGTTGGCAGACTGTGCCCCGGTACTGTCGATGAAGAGGCCAGAATACGGACTGGTAGCTTGGGTTTCGGCCGCTGCAAGGACAGAGCTGAAGGATCCGGGGACAGCCTGCTGACCAGCAGAATAGCCCATCGGAACACCGACAGAATTGTAACCTCCCGGTGCGTTAAAGTATTGTCCATCCGGTGTAGTTGCGCTGCGTGTAGGCAGGTAGTTTGTCAGCGTGTCAGCGACAGATTCCAGCGGCTGAAGCGGCTGGATCTGGTATCCCGATGACACAGAAGCAGCTTCTGAAGTGGATGGCGAGGACAACGCGCTGTCTGTAGCTGCTAGCGCTGCGGTCGTGGCGTCAAGCGTATGCTGTATCGAGGACAGCAGCATCGCGTCGGAGAGAGAGGCGGGAGTGCTCGGTGCGCTAAAGTTCGATCCAGTTGAAGACGTCTCGTCAGTCTCCGAGCTGTTCGCTGCGAATGGTCTGCTGTTTATCGACGAACCTGGTTGTTGACTCCTCGTTGGAGACGCTGGAGCTCGAGGAATAGGCGGTGATGGCCTGAACACCTCGTGGTTCTGGAAAAGCTTCTCCGACACTGGGATCTCTGCAAACTCCGTTTGACGCGGCATCGTCCCCATGAACGCACTCGTTTTGCCTTGAAACTGCTTCCCAGAGCTCGAAGATAATGACGAGACTCCGGGTGGTAGTGGAATTCTCCGTGTAGGTCCATTCTTCGCATCCTTTTTGGATGCTGCTTTGCTTCCAGCATTCGGCAGTCTCTCGGTCGGATCTAACCGAAAGTTCCCCGGCAGTAGTTGGTCTTCTCCCAAAAAGATGCTCAGCGGGTTGAGCGTGGGTCGATAGTTCGGCACATTATCCGTGACTCGCGGGATGCAGAACGGGTCGGAGCGTAGCACAATGGCGGGCGACTCGTCCTTCAGCTTGTCGTTCGTGAACAAATAGTGCATGTCGGCAACGTTTTTGGTGTTGTACACCACCTCCGGGTCGGGCATGTACACGCCCGCACGCATCTTCTCCACCACCTCCGGCGGTGGCATCTCAGGCAACTTCTCTTCCTCATCTTCAACGGTCGTAGGAGTCGCCTCAGCGTCTAGAGAGACCAGCTCTGATCCGTTCGACGTCGTGCTGTGGGTCCTACTCGAGGCCTCGTCACCGCTCTCGTCCGAGGAGCTTTCAGTGATCTCGTGAACTCTGCGAGCTTCTTCTTCTTCGTTCTGACCCTCGCGGTACTTGTCTGTCACGTCCTGATAGCTGTCGTCTCCTTGTGAGGTGCTGTCAGGACCCCGTCGACCGGGAGGGTCTGTGGCTGCCATGGGCATCGACCGTTGCTGCTTGAGTGGAGTTGAGGAGGCGAGAAGGACGGACTTAATCGGCGCAAAGGCCTCTGAGCATACTCTCCACACTGATTGTGAGAGCCTCTCGCCACCAGAAACTGGTAAGCTTACAGTACTAGAATGAAGCTTTTGGACTTTATTACGTTTTAGGCACACATTTGTACGTATCAGTAGTATCAGTACTAAGTATTATTATCATTTGTTAAAAGTACTAGTGCTTTGTTTGTGTTCAGTTAAGTACGAGGGGAGCCGGTCTGAACCGTGAGTTTCCAAACCGGAAGAGAACGAAGAATTCGCCCGGCCATTCACCGTTTGACACGCCAGAGCTCAAGCCCAAGCTCAAAGCATCAGCACCAACAGAGCACACTGCTTCACAAAGACGCAGCCTGGCTGCCAGAAGATTCCGTGTCGTCCGTTCCCAATCCCGTCCCTCCAAACCAGAACCAGCCGCGCAGCGTTACTCAGGCATTAGCGCTCCCAGGTCGTACCGTGCGCCTAGAAGCTCCGGATGAGCTGAATGGCCCGTGGGATGGTCCAGTTTACGCGACCCTGGGACGCGAATCGAAGGTTCTGAAGCCGACCAACACTGGCCCGCTCCTTGCGGAGGACGACGGCATGCGCCGCCCGGCCTGCTAGGCGACCTTGATCATCATGCGCCACGACCAGCGTCGTGGGGATCTACCTTCGGCTCTACGGGAACATGTCGACATTCAGTATTGGATCCCTTTCTGGCTTCTGACGTCTTCCTACCGTGCCTCTCCGCCGAGCTTTATGAACGCTCACTCTTATCCCTGCTTCGCTATGAGCGCTTTAGCACCTACTTTGTGGCCACGCCACGGTGCGATACCAAGTTTCTCCGCAAGACATCTGACGTTTTCTTGTGTGGTCAAGTGGTGGCTTACTATCCCATGTCGAGCTTGGCTCTGGTGGATGATGCCGACTTATTATTGGACTCTGGCTCCGGGTATATTTGCCACGTGGCGATCCGTCATTTTTCTGATGCGTCCCCGTTAATTGTCGCGATCCCGTTGGCTGACGTCCGTACCCGCCACATTTTCCCGGTGGAGTACATGTTGGGTTATTATCACGGGCTGTCAGTCTCGGTGACACCTCCCAGCTTTGACGGGACCTGGTCCACACTATCGTTCGCTGGCTCGTCGAACGTGCGAATGATTCGCTTTGCAACGGTCCCAGTAACCCCATTCCCACGATCGATCTGTGCCCTAACGCAGTGGCGTACGTGACGCCTCGCGGGGAAACAACGGCGTTTACGCCTCTGAGGTTTGTACTCCGCATTACGATCGTGCCGAACATGGATGTTGACCAAGACGACGTCGCCCCTGAGCCAGACCTTCTTCTTCTCACCGTTGAGGACACGAGGTTGACCCCGTCGGACATATTTGCCCTTCCGCCTCGGATGCTCCAGGCCAGGCCACCTTCGGGAAACATCACAACAGGTTCAGCTGAACTGGGTCTGAGTCCTGGACCCATGCAACCCGCATCCACTAACGCAGTGTCAGGCACCCAGTTACCCGTGACGTCTCCGATTACCGACCGCCTATTTTAATTCTGCTCGAGCAGCAACGGGCCTCTCAAGCATCAACACGGACCTTGATGGAAAGAATGACGCAGTTGACCGAGCTGGCATGTGGTCAGCGCCAGGCGCCCAACCCTTTCGGTTAGTGTGCTCACTCCAGCTCAGCGTGCACCGGTCCCGGGCCAGTCAGGCCCACCCCCTGCGCACTGTGATCACACACGTGGTTCCCCGCCTCGGACTAGCCACGACGATTTGGTGGCGTATGATCAGTCTAACGCGGCTCCTGGCCGTAACCGCTCACGTTCACGTTCCTTTCACCGAAATCGCTCCCGCTCCCGTTCGCCTCCTCGCTCCCATAGGCACGCCAGGCGTGTTTGTTCACGCTCTCGCTCCCGGTCGCCTCATGTTGTTCGACGGTGGTCTCGGAGACGTTCTCCCCACGATCGTGTCCGGCGTCGGCGTTCTCCATCCTCTCTGAGAGGTCGGCGCTCTCGCTCACGACCACGCGTTTGCCGCTCACGTTCTTGCGACCGCTTGCCCCTGGGGCATCGACAATCAGGTAACAGCCTCTTTCGTCCATCGGAGAATGAAGCTACAGTGCATAACATTGCACGCGTTGGGCCTCGTTTCGACCAGTCCTCCCAATATACGGGTGAATTCCACCGATTTTTCGACATGTCGATGCACGACCAGGTCGGCTCCATGCTCCAACGCGAGCGTTTTCGAAACCAATACTGAGTGTCGAAAGTCACTAAAGAAGCTGTTTCGCTGTTAATTTTGGCAATCGACCCATCGACCACTTTCTGTCCTCAGAGGACCCTATGACGTTCCAGCAGGACCGCATGATCATTCATGACGACTCGCAATGGGGTGGCCCCGAACCTGGACCTCCCCTTCAGATCCGCCGGGCGGACCAACTCCAGCATGTCCTCCATGTCATTCAAGAAGCGGCAGCGCTGTGGTATCCGGTCGATCTGGCGACGGTATTCCGTACCGTTCACGGCGATGCTGTTCATAATGTGATGCCCCGGGCCCCGCCGCAAGTTGTGCAGCTTATACCAGGCAGTGTTTATCGAACTTTTCACGGATATCCTTACCGGTGTGGGCTGTCGCGACTTGAACACTCGTGCACTCAGAGTGCTCAGCCATGACTCTCCTGAGCATCAACGTTACGTGCACCAGGTGCTTCACAACGCTGATTTCCGCTCCGTTTTCGATGGACCAGGGCCGTCTCGCTCCGACACTCAACGTGCTGGAACTGATCAACAACGGCGCCGTCGCGCGGGTAATTCCCGGACCCAAGGCGCCAGACGCGCCGCCGAGTCTACAGTGATCCCGTCAGTAGCACAAGCACAGATCCCACAGGATAATGGCACCCAGGTGTGTGTCCGTTTTCAGGCAGCATCGGACTGTTCGTTCCCGCGGTACCGCCAAGCCCGTGTGCTCCGCCAGCTTCCGTCGGACGTTCTTCAGTGGGTTGCATCCCACCATGAACCTCTCAAAGAAGGTCACCCACAGCGCGAGTGAAGGGGCTGGGGAAGAATGCCAGGCATCACAACATATTTTCCGTACTAATACGACTGTGGTGTTTGATCTACCTTTCGTGTTATCCCTGGAGTGTAATGGGCCCCTCCATTACATAAGTAGGTGCATCAGCACACGACTACCGTCTTACCCCGCATATAAGGCATATGTGTTCTAAATAAATTCGGGATTCGCTCGACATCTAGCTTAAACCTCAATTTGACCACCTATCTAATTAGAACACATGTGTAAAACACAAGGCTGTACCAACCAATGAATATTCTTGAGAGCTCCCAACCAACCACCCTTCTGAACAAACTAGTCGGTGCTGCTGTTACTTAGCTTTAATTCTCTTAATTAATATTTTACACAGTCATGAGTGCTGAGCGACGTAGCTATAGTATCCACGAGAAACTCGCTGTTCTAGCAGACTCAGATAGGCGTGAAAGGTCACGGCTTTGCTGCTCTTAGCAAGAAGCACAGCGTGGCGGTTGGAACCCACGCCGATCGCGTAGGAGGGTCAAGCCTAAGCGACCAAGCCATATTCCAGGACCCACAGACTTGCTTCTTCAAAGTCAAACAATTTGTTCGTTGTACAACACATAGGCTTTCTAAATGAATATAACACACAAGCAGCGTTGTATTCATTTACAGCACCTATGCCTTATATGCGGGGTAAGACGGTAGCGTGTGCTGAAATGCTGTCATGCCATTGGCTGATATATGGGGAGCTAGACCCATTATTAGCCAATTGGACTATGACGTGTATTTGGGTGGCCAGGGTGTGGCCTTGGTCCTAAAATAAAGTCAGAGTTGATTTTATCTTAAACCTAAGACTCAGTCGTCCTGTTGCGAACTTCCTCAACACTTTAGTGTAAGCAAGTAGCGGAGTAAATACCGGGCCCGTTACACCTGGTAGCACTTTGTAGTCCTTCCAACGACCAAGTTCGACATGAGCCAAGGCCTCGACCACGCTGCCTTCCTCCATCTCACTCGGATCAGGTGGGAAGCTCTCCACCGCCTCGCGGCGGTGTCCGGAGAAGCCGTCGTCACGTCGCTGCTGCGCTCAGCGACGCCCGACGAGCAGCGCGTTGCGGCACAAAAATTTATGGAACGCGAGCTCGCCGATGCGAATCGGCGAGTGTCAACTCCCTCGCGTATCTCCACGAATGACGTCGTGAAGCTAGAGACCTCCACCTACTCCGGTGCCGGAGAAGATCGACTTCCGCTGAATCGCTGGTTTTGAGAGATCGACATCGCCATCGCCTCGAGGTTGATCGAGGCGCCTTCCGCGAAGGTCCATTTCCTCCTCTCGCGGTTGTCTGGGGAAACCAAGGAATGGGCTCTCGGCAACGTGGTTGTCGATCCCAGCGTCTTCCTTACTCTGGATACCCTCCAGAGTGACCTTCGGCTCGAGTTCGAGCCGCCGCAAGATGAGTGCCGAATTCGGGCAGACTTCTTCGCCCTTCGGCAAAGCATGATGACAATGCGCGACCACGTCCAGAAGACACGACACCTCGCGTCGTGTATCATGTCTAAGCCGATCGATATGACCTCTCAGGCTCATGTGTTCGTGTTCGGTATGCGCGAAGGCATGACGCGCTACTGCCTTACAAGATCGGACCCCTCTACGCTCGAAGAGGCATTCGCCCTCGTTCTACGCGAGGACTACGTGGTTGCGGCGTCATACGCTCACGCGCTACCTGCTTTAGCTCGGGATTCTGCGCCCGAGCCCATGGACTTCGACGCTATCGATGCGACGAACAATCGCCAGCGTCATGTAGCGCGTTGGAGCAGTGCTCGGAACAGTCGTTCTCTCACCTGCTTCCGCTGCCGGAAGGTCGGTCATCGCGTGGTAGAGTGCCGCGCGCCAGCTCCAGTGCTTGCGCATGTCGATGCCGAGCCCGTGAGCTCTGACCAGCCAAAAAACGGTCAGGGTCAGTAGGTGCGGGGCGCCCTACTGGCTGGAATGAAAGTCCGGGTCCCTCGGTGGCAACCCAACCTCCTAGCCCTCCTGTGCTGCATGCACACTTTCATGCCAC